CAGGGCAGGAACCGTGGCTTCTTTTTATACTGGGATCCTCAAGACCAGCAGAAAGTCTGGGCCCAGTAGGTGCTCAGGAGTGTTATAGGTGATAAGGAAGGTGAGACTGAAGCACCTCGGCCTGAACGCCGATGAATGTTCTAGCAATCTCATTGGGAGTGAGGCCGGCTGCCAGTGGGGTTACCTGGTCTGGAAATAGAGCTCGCCTGTGTTTTCGGAGGAGCCTGCCGCAGCCCTTCTCAGGTCTGCTCCGGGACAAACGCTCTGTCCTTGACACCAACACACCGCGGCCTCCCTGCCACCTGTCAGCAGACCGCTGCCAGAGTGTAATTGTATCCGGTGTTTTGAGAGGAAGGCTGAGTTAAATAAGGCCCTGGTGGAGTCAGGAGGGCCGGCAGAGCTTTTCTTACCTGTTAATGAAGCCTCATTAGAAACAGCAAGAACCTGGGCTGAGAACTGGAAGCACCAGCCAGCCTCGACTCTCGCTGCCAAAGGATGATTAATGTAATGATTTACGGCAGCTGCTTTTTGAGATTACCGAGCAGGGGAGACCGGTGTGTGCAGCCTGGCCCAGCGGGCGGGCTGCTGGAGACTCAGGAGGGGGTGCAAATCCATTCTCCCCTTCCTCCAATGGTTGAAACAGCTTCCAGGTTCTGGCAAACGCATGGCCATTCAGACACAGAAGTACCTCCCTTGGATGGCTGACCTTTCGGGGCCCTCCAACTGTGTTTAGGTTAGGGATTTTGGTCTTAGCTGGGGAGCAAAAATTAATCATAACAAGAAAGAAAAGAAACAGAGCTTCGTGTACGGTGCAGGCAACGTAGCTAGGCCGGCCACACACTGTGTCTTCCGGGGAGGCCCTTGTACCCAGTGGTTAATTACTGGCACCCCCGGAGTGTGCAGCCATGGAGACATTGGTCTTTGCTGAAATGTAGCATTAGGTGGTGTCTTGCCTATTGCTGTGCCTCAAACAACAAAGAGAATTATGTAAAGATCTCATGTAAACTAAGTAGCTATCTTGCCCATGTGACTCATTAATATGATTCCTTTGACCCTGGAAACCAAACAGAAACACCAGTTGGAGCAATTTCAACCAGGACACCCCATTTCTTACTTCGCTTCTCTTTCCAGCTTTAAGAGTAAATAAGGTTTCTTTTGTGTGTGTCGGCTGTGGCTATCTGGAAGCACAGGTACTGAGGGGAGGGTGTCTTCAAATGTGCCCATAGTGGACACGACCCCCTGTCTGGGTCAGCACCTTACGAGGAAAGAGACTCAGCTTGGATGGTGTGGCCTGTAGTTTTGCGTGACAGGTGGGCTGGCAGGAGCGTGAGGGAGGAGTTAAGAAATTGAGTTTGGGCTTCTTTGTGTGCGTGGTTTTGGAGGAACTGAGAGCCGGTGTTAGGACACAGGTGGTGGTTTCAGTTTTAATCAGAAGGCAGGGGAGTCTTGCCTGGGTAGGTGGCAGAATCAGAAGCTATATTTGGCTGGCTCAGGCCCCAACTGTGGAAGCAAATTCTGAGGCTACAAAGGAGGTAAGCAACCACAACCTAATTAATCCCCCACAGACTTAAATTGAAGTTCCCTTTTCACGGATTGAGAGGTGCTCCGCCAATAGCAGTGAGATGTGTGTGCCTGCACGTAAACACCCGTGGAGAGCCCATTAAAGAGGTCTGAATGCTTGTGATGCCTGTAATTATGGTACATGCAATAAAGCACCAATCCCCTAACAAGAGTGTTGTTTTGCCCTGAACCGTGGCAAGCCTGCATGCCTTGAGCACAACGCTTCCCCGGGCAGCGCATTTATGTCCATAACCCCAAGAGGAGCTGATCCTTGGGTGGCCAGGTAGATGGCGTTATGCTCAGGGAACCTTCCAGAGCCTTCAAGAATGGCTCCACGAGCAAAGGCCAGGCAGGTAAAGGGACAGCCACCTCCACCCGGTAGTGAGTTGAACAAGGTGGGCAGACTGGAAGCCTCACACAAAGCATTTATTTGGAGAGGGACAGGGAGGTTGCCCAAGCTACAGGCTACTTCAGTTTCAGGCCGAAGGACCCCCTTCCACTTCCAGGAAGCTTTTCAGCTCAATCGGAATCAACCAGGGAAGCTAGCAGGGAATCGGCTCGAGGGGGTGGGGT